TAGCTCACCCCACGTTTATTTGTTTTCCTTGACAGGTTCTGGAAACTGAAAGCCTTGAACTTACTTATGTTTCTTTTCTTTTGGATGTAATGGATATTATGGCTATTGTGTGGGTTGTATTATGCTTCAACTTGAATTATGTACTTTTGTTTTAGATTGCCACTTGATGCTGGAAAAGTGTAAAACCTAATTTCGATATCTGGTTCGTATGAATTTTATTTGTATATCCGATTTGTACAACCCTATTCCCTGGTTGCAGCGCATGGGATGTTTAGGGGCCGTTGACTGACCGTTTTAAATTACTGCTACCTCTGAAGTTAATGTGGTTTAGTGATTGACTTTTTTTTTTGAGGGAAGCGATATTGTAATAGTTTAGGTTATTCTTCGGAAGGTTTCGGGTTAGTGTGCGTGCGTGAGTCCTGGCGAGAGCTGGGCAGACGGCCCGCCAACTCTCTGGTTCGCCTTAGGGGGAAGTGGGGTCGTCACAGCTATGGGCGCAGAGCACACCATCCGCCTACCCAAGGCAATCGATCCTAATCCTACAAGGAGGTGTGGGAAACGCCCACGAAAAAGAAAAAAATAGGGTAAATAAGACTATGCATGCACGTATGAGGTGCTTTCTTTTTGAGGGGAGGGATTGTACCATAAATGCAGATGGAGGTTCTAGGGTGACTACCCTCTATCCCAAAATGCAATCGCGAAACAAGTAAAAGTAAACAAATAAATGAACCATCTATTCATCACATACATAGTGTGCAAAGAGCGATTAGGCGCGCGATAGATGTAAAATCCCTAAAAAGAGAAAAAAGGCAAAAAGGGAAAGAGGAATGCAATCCTAAACATCCAAATGTAATAGATAAGAAGGTTAAAAGAAGAAAACAATCGACTAAATCAAATGTTCGGACTCTCTAAGTCCCCAGTGGAGTCGCCAGCTGTCGCGCCCCATTTTTTATAAGAAAAATAAATGGTTTAAAAAGTGAACTTTTGATTTGAAGAATGAATTTTGATTTACAAAGAAAATGAAGAAAAATATGGGTCTAAATGGGACTTGAAAATGCGACGATTTGGCCCAAAATATAGTTTAAAAAGGGTTTATTGAATGAAAAATGGAGTCGCCACTTGGTATTGAGTTAAGGTGTACCAAGTCACCAAAAATGAGTTTTCAAAGGAAAAAGTAGAAAAACCCCTTTTAAACGACTCCTAGTCTACGATAATCAAAGGAAAGGTTCGGGAGTCACATTTGACGAAGGGGAAGGCAAGGATAAAAATCCAAGGCACCCCTTCCACCTAGCCAAGGCTAGTTGCGTGATTTAGTCAAAGATTTTTTTGTTTTAACCTAAAGATTTATCACATTTGGATGTACTATATGAATGCAAACCCTAGACCTAGGAGGGTATCGGGGGGTCAAAATATCTCTTCAAAGCTTGAATGGTGCCAATCACATTAATTGTGACGCCCAATAGTGACTCTTTGGAGAGGTCACGAATAATGCAAAAATAGGAGACTCTAAAAAAAGAAAAGAAATAAAATAATTATACAAATATACATGTCTTAAAGGAATGCATCATGTCGGGTACGGGGGACTAATGTTCGTGACTCAATTTTCCCTTTAATAGAGGGAATACGAGCGTGCTAAGGCTAGAAAGCCAAACTCGTCCATATCCCATATTCAAGGGGTTTTCCCTAATCTAATCAAGAAAGTGTACTATCCTAATTCTAATTCTTAAATGAAATGCAAGTCTAATGTTATGTATCACACATAGGGGTATATATAAATAGGGAAATTAGGGAATAGGGGATATAGAGAGAAAGGAATATGGGATAAAGGATGTACATATATAAGAAAGTGTCATGCAACATGCTAATGCCCTAAAAAGTGAAAACATGCATGAAATGGAGTGATTTTATCATGCAATCATGATCTAACGCGCGAAGGGCTCCTAAGGGTCTAGCGTTGGACTAGCCCACATCTACGCTCTCTCACAAGCATTGGACTTGCAAGAGCTCGAGGGGACAACCATGACTAGCATTGGACTAGCCACGGTTACGTGCATTTGCATCCATCATACACATATATAAGTAATGTGCATAATTAAAGCAAGTAGACATGTGAGCACCTAATTCACATAACACATAAGCATGCATATCTAGATGCCAAAACCTAAGAAAGCGATTAAACACATAGCACCTAAGCATGCAAAACACATAAGGCGATTAAGGCCCTAACTATTACATTTTTAGGGGGGAAGGCCTACCACAATCTAATGAAAATTAAAATAAATAAAATAAACCTAACTATTACAACTTGGCATTTAAATGCCTCTTCAAATGATCAAAATTGAACCAAAATTAAAGTGAAATTAAATAATTAAAGAAATGAATGAAGTGAAAATAGAATAAACACTTAAAATCATGCAATTGCACACATAAGGCACATATACACATAGGGTCAAATAAAGTGAGAAATAAGGGATAGGGTGTACCTCCCTTGATTTGGAGCCCTATTGGAGTGAAATCGCTTATTTATCCTCCAAAATAATAAAAAGGTCAAGGCATCATTTTAATTAACAATTAAAGAAAACATGCAAATACAAACTCACTTGATCATAAAGCTCTTAAAATCATGAATTAAGTGCAATTTAAACAAAGCATGGTAGTTAATTGAAGCAAACAAGCAATGAAAAGTTGTAAAATTAGAGCTGCCAAGGACCAAATTGAGGAAATTATTCAATTGGTTGGGTCATAGTAAAATAAAGAGAAAATTGAGGGATCAAACTGCAATTTTGGAAAAGTTTTTCATGCATGCTACGAGGCTTTCTTTGCTCTTATTTCTGCAACTCAAGTTATGAAGCTATCCTTCTGCAATTTTATCCATAAGCTCTCCGTAGCTCTTAAACACACTCAAATTCAATGTGAGCTAAAGCAACAAGACAACCACCTAATCCTCTCACTTTGCCACATAAAACTTTAGATTTAAACACCAAAAGTCGGACAAAAGGTCATGCAAATCTGGACAGTTCATGGGTTTTCTTTCTGCTACTTTGAGATTTCAGCAATTTCATACGGCAAATTTTAATACAATAACCTCAAACCAGAATCAATCCCAAATTCTACATAAGCTTATCATCCAAAAACTTGGTAAACATGCAAGAGAAAGGCAATAGGGATGAACAAAACACATACAACAGCAAGAGATGCGGTAGACTACAAGCATCAGCAACGAAACTACAAGCATCAGCAATTCCATGCTCCAACATGTGACTGAATGGAAATATGCAGCAAAGACGCAAGTAGAAAAACTCATGGCAGATATGCACACCAAATACCAAACCGAACACTACAGAACTCACAAGCTTCAAACAAGCCAAGACTTTAACAAGCAAAGGAAAGAAACAGGATCTGTTTGTCCACGCTGCTGCAACAAGCCGAGAGCTTTAAGCTTGTTGCAGCAGATTTTTATGCGCAACTCTAAGCGCAAAACTATTCTAAGACCAGGTAAACAGGCTCCTTAAAACATTCTTCCTAGTTTTCAACATAAAATTCTTAGGCTGAAACACAAAATTCAGAAAGAAAGAGCGTGCAAAACTGGAAATAAAATTTCTGCAATTTCGCTGCTATGGGATTCATACCAAACCCAGGTAACAAAATCCAAGCAAAACATCAAATTTTCAGACCAAAACATGAAGATTATGGAGCCCCAAGCATCAAGATTCAAACTTGGTATATTTAATATCAAATTCGTGCCATAAAACCTGAACTGCCATCGCACAAGGTGAGCAGGGAAAGTGCAACAAGAGAAAAGAGTAACGCAGGCTAGATTCGGACGAGTTTGGCCAAGATTTAAACTTGAATGGCAAGAGTAAAGTGAAACTACATCACCTTAAAAGCTTTGGGAAGTTGAGATGATGCTGTAAGCTTGAGGGGATAGGAGCTCAAACACTGCAGCTACAAGCAGATACGTTCGGCGCCGACGACGCAAGAGCTGCGACTCCAGCAGGTTTAGGCTTCGATTCAAGGGCGTTCCAGCAGTTTTTCCCAAGAACTTTGTATACAAAAATTCTTCCCCAAACACCGGAGATTATCCAGATCAATTAAGGTATCCCAGAAGAGATCTCTCCGATGGAGAAAATCGCATCGCAAGGTGACGAAAATCCAGCCTCGTTCTAAAAGTTTGTGCAGAAAATTTTGTTTTCCTTCGTTTCTTTCCCCAGATTTTTCTTCACTCTTCTCGTTTCTTCCTCACTTGGTTTTTCTTTCTTTCCTCAAACCCTCAGCCCGTAGCTACCTTTCTATCTCTCACTTCAGCCGCCGCACCAGATTTTCTTCTCAAAACCTCCTCTCGATCTTTTCTTTTTTTTTCCAATCTCAGCCCCCCCGTCACTCCTTTCTTTTCCAGTTCCTTTTCGGTATCTCTCCCTCAGTCTCTAACCCTAGCCGCCAGTGCTCTCTATTTTCCAGCCGTCAACTCCTCTCCTTTCATCCGTCCGACTCTCCCCCTAAACCTCCTCTCATTTCATAACTTATATAGACAATCAAACCTAGCATCTACGGTGTTGTTTTCTTTCTGCATTTCCGGATGATTTCAGGCCATTAGATGGCTATTATCTCACATGCATTTGGAGCTCATGGATGAAGCCATATGGCCTGTACCATGGTCATCTGACGGAGCAAAAAAAAAGTGAAAGAAAACAAGTGGAAAAGGAGTTGAAAAATGGCGCTGCAATTTTTGTTTCTGCATTCGTTCATGAGTAATTTTTATTTTTTTTTGTTTTGAAACAATCCTGATTTGATTTTTGTTGTTTTTCTTTTCCCTTTTTCTTTTTATTTCCAGACGAACCATTTAATTAATAAACAAAATGACAAAAAATAACAAAAAATAACAAATTAAGTAAAATTGAATAAAATAGACAAATAAAATTGACAACGGGAGCCACACGTAGGGTTTGGGACAATTTTCTCTCTGGGTTCTAAGACACACGTAGGGTTCGGGTTAGGTTCTCATGGCGGCTCTCCTGCATGGGGAGGCGCCGCCTTTCGTTCGACCAGCGAAGACGTTTGCATCTGTTCTTTCGCAATCTCCGTCATCCGCATCAAGTGGTGTTGGCCTTCTTAATACATACAAGGGGGAGCCTTCGTTGGTGATTTCTCGTCAAGATATGTTGCAGATAGCAGCGCCCTACTCAAATGCGTTGGTCGGCAGATTTGCCGTAGGCCGCCCTTCCATGGAACTTATTCGCAAGTTTATTGTTTCGTTGGGGTTGAGGGGCGAGTGCCCAATAGGTTTGTTAGATTCCAAGCACATTCTTTTACGTCCATCAGAGGAGGAAGATTACACCAGGCTTTGGTGTCGTCGGTTTTGGTATGTTGGCAAGTTTCATATGTCTCTGTCGAAATGGACAATTGATTTTAAACCAGGAGCCGAGTCATCCATTGCACCAGTTTGGGTCAATTTTCCGGGTCTTCCACTGCCGTTTTTTGAAAAGCAATTTCTGCTTAAACTCGGTACCCTACTTGGCCGACCTTTGAAAGTGGATGAAGCTACGGCTTCATTGAAACGCCCTTCTGTTGCCCGTATTTTGTTGGAGGTTGATGTATTGCAACCTCCCAAATCTAGGATTTGGATCGGAGATGATCAGTGGGGTTTTTGGCAAAAAATTGAATATGAAGATTATCCTTCTTATTGTGGGTTTTGCTCGTTGATTGGCCATACAGAAGCCATCTGTCATCGCAAACATCCGGAATTGAGGCCGGTTCGTTCTGGTCCATCATTTAAAACGCACGTCAGACAAGTTTTTCAACCAAAGGGGGTATCTGCTGTTGATGACTCTCTGCCTGTTGCGGGTTCTGGGGTAGTGGAAGTTCCGGGGATACAAGCGCCAGATGCACCGGTGGCACCGGAGGCTACTGCTGACTTGCCACCTCAGTCTGCTAATCCTAGTCAGGGAAATTTTCCTCAAGCTACTGTACTTGTTCATGTTCCTGTTCTTTCAAATACGTCTCTGGGGGCTGATGAAGATACGCATAATTTGCTTGCCTTAGGTCGCCAAGTTTCTTCTTCCCCGTTTCAGGAGTTATCAGATGATATCCTCATTTCTGACGGGGATAATCGTGGGCTGCTAATTGCAACTGTGTCTGAAGGGCCGAACCATGAACGGCATTCCTCTTCGCTCTCTCCTATGCGGAATCACGATCGTGTTCGTCTGGTGCGGTCTAGTTCTGAAGGGCGGTCAGGGGGGCGAGGGATTTCTTTGGTGGAGTTGAAAAGTTTTCAGGATCGCTTACCCAGCAGAATCAAAGCATCTAAGCTTTGTTATGATCCGGTTGGAGGGTGTCTGGATGATACGGATTCTCAATTACTGCAAAAGTTGATTCAAGGACACAAGGGTCGTCCTAGGCAGTCCAGGAAACGAGAAGGTATGAATTCATCTGCGCATTATAATCTTCGGTCTAATAATGTTAAATCCGATTAAGTTTATAGTGTGGAATATTCGGGGTGCAACGAACAAGGAGTCATTGCGGTATATTCGTTGTACTTGTAGATCAAATAATATTAGGTTATTGATTCTTTTGGAACCTTTAGCCAATGTCTCTCATCTGGGGAGTGTGCAGTTGTTTTTGGGGTTTGACTTTGCTAGGTCTTTCGTGAATAACAAAATTTGGATATTCTGGTGTTCGGATGTTCGATATTCTTTTGTAGAAGCTACGGATCAATTGGTCCATGTCTATTTGTCTTTCCCTTCTGGCTCTTCTTTTATTATTTCAGCTGTCTACGCGAAGTGTAACAGAATTGGTAGGAGAAGGCTATGGGAGGCTTTGGAGCATTTTTCCATGTCCGTTACTCTACCGTGGATTGCTGTAGGAGACTACAACGTTATTACTTGCGCGGAGGAAAGGATTGGAGGATCTTCTCCGAATATGCGAGATTTGGAAGAATTCAACTCAGCTTTACATCGCAGTGGCTTATTTCCAGTTCAATTCGATGGGTCTGCTTACACATGGGCCAATGGTCGCATGTGGCAGCGGCTGGATCGAGCGGTCGTTAATGCCGCCTGGCTCGCAGATGTTGAGATGACTAGAGTAGCTCATCTTCAACGGGGGCGGTCTGATCATTGTCCGTTGCTAGTCAAGTGGGGTAGTACATCGACAAGGCGATCATCATTCCGGTTCCTCAATGTCTGGCGCGGTCACTCCAGTTTTCAACAAACAGTCAAGTTGGCATGGTCTCAGTCTGTTTCTGGAGTGGGAATGCAGAAATTCTTTAATAAGTTACAGGTGGTTAAAAGAGCTTTATCTCGATGGAATGTGGAGGTTTTCGGGAATGTCTCTCAAAGGGTCAAACAGGCAGCAGACAATTTATTGGCCAAGGAAATTTTGTATGATCAGAATCGGGATATGGTGTCTAGGACGGCAGTTCACGAGGCTAGGGCATTTCATTCTCGGGAGCTAGCATTGGAATGTGAATTTTGGAGACAAAAGGCTGCGATTAAATGGATCAAAGAGGGTGACGCTAATACCTTTTTTTTCCATGCAGCAGTTAAGCAAAAACGCAGTTGTAATTTTATTGCACGCATCAGGGGAAGTGGCGACAGTTGGTTTGATAGTATAGAGGATATTAAGCTGTCAGCAAGTGATTTTTTCTCCACGTTGTTCACAGCAGACCGCGCTGCAGGTTCTGGCATCAGGCCGTCACTTGAGCTGCCTAAACTTACGACAGAAGAGAACGATTGTTGCTGAAGTCTCCATCGGTAGAAGAAGTTCACACGGTTATATGCTCGTTGGACTCTCAGAGTGCTGCGGGACCCGATGGGTTTGGAGGGGGTTTTTATCAAAGTTGCTGGGAGTGTATCAAGGACGACTTCATGGATGCGGTGCAGGATTTCTTCGCTGGTGCCTCGATGCCCCGCAGATTTTCAAGTACCACGATCACATTACTGCCTAAGAAGGAGGGTGCATGTGAGTGGAAAGATTTTCGACCAATAAGCTTATCTAACGTTAGTTCGAAGATCATCTCGAAAATTTTGTCTACCCGCATTAATACACTCCTTCCTAAGTTGATTTTGGAGTTTCAGACTGGATTTATACCGGGCAGGGGGATACAGGATAATGTCCTCCTCGCTCAGGAATTAATTCTGGATTTGGACAAGAAATTGCGTCATCCTAATGTAATTTTGAAATTGGATATGGAGAAGGCCTATGACAGGGTGGAATGGGGGTTTCTTTTGTACATGCTTCGTGAATTTGGCTTTAAGGAAGGTGTGGTAGATCTGGTTTTTCGGTTAATATCCAACGTGTGGTTTTCTGTATTGGTTAATGGGGAGCTCACGAGTTTTTTCAAATCGACTAGAGGGGTACGTCAGGGGGATCCTCTATCTTCTACTCTTTTCCTTTTTGTATCGGAATTCCTTGGACGGAGACTTCAGCAGCTGGTTGCTAACACTCCGAGGTTTAGATTTTTGAGTAAGGGGGGGCTGGTCCCGTTTCTTGCGTTTGCTGATGACATGGTTATCTTCACACGGGCATCGGTTGACTGTCTGCAAGCTGTGTCGTCCTTGTTGCGAGAGTATGAAATTCTTTCTGGCCAAAAAATAAATCTTGCCAAGAGTAGGTTTCTGTGTTCGTCGAAGATTCCTTCGGATACCATCACTTTAATTCAACAAGCTACGGGGTTTCAAGGGCAATCTTGGCCTGTGAGATATTTGGGAGTGCCACTGTTTCGTGGCCGTAGTAGGAGTATTTTATTTGATGGAGTTTTTGCTTCTGTTAGAGCAAAGCTTCTTCATTGGAGTTCCCGCTTCTTGTCTGCTGGGGGGAAGATCATATTGCTTCGGCATGTGTTGAACTCAATGCCTATTTATTTATTGCAGGTTTCTAAACCACCGAAGGGGATTTTTCTAAGGCTAGGTAGGCTGTTTAATGCATTTTTGTGGGACGGCAAGGATGGGAGACGGATTCATTGGTCTTCCTGGGAGAAATTATGTTTTCCAGTCGCAGAAGGGGGTTTGGGTTTCAGATCACTGCTGGATGTAGAGAAGGCGTTTGCAATGAAATTATGGTGGAGAATACGTCAAAAGAATTCTACGTGGGCAAGGTTCATGCATCGAAAGTACATTGGTGACCAACATCCGTCCTCGGCAGAGGTTGGTGTTGGGTCGGCAATATGGAAGCGGGTCTGCTCAGTTCGGACTGTTGCTGAAGCCAATTTTCGTTGGCGTGTTGGTGAGGGGTTTGTCGATTTCTGGTACGATCGTTGGCTTTTTGACGAACCGCTTAGTAGCCAGTGTGATGGGGAGCCTCCTCATTGTTTGGTAGCTGAGTTCTATAGCTCTACAGGGTGGAATATTGAACGTTTGCTCCAGGTTCTTCCTCGATCGGTCGTTAATAGTATTTTGCAGACAAGTGTTGATCCAGCTCTTAAGGATGAATTGGTTTGGGCTCCTTCAACGGATGGTAGGTTCACTGTGTCGTCTGCATGGGATTTAATTAGACAGCGGCGTAACCTGTCTTTGGTGTGGCGCGGAATTTGGTGTTCATTGCTGCCGTTAAAGATGTCTTACCTTGTTTGGAGGATTTTGGCTGGTTTTCTGCCGTTGGATGACAAGCTCCGTTCTAGAGGGTTTTCATTGGCTTCTAAGTGTGATTGTTGTGGTGATTCACAGGAGTCTTTGCATCATATTTTTGTGCAGGGCAACTTGGCAAGTGCTGTCTGGAAGCATTTCTTCCGCGCTTGCGGTATCCCGTGGACTTCATTCTCATGCGTTTCTTCGTTGCTAGTGGTGTGGTTTCAATCTTCTGGGAGTGGGCGTTTGGATCATGTTCGGTGTGTTATACCTGTTGTAGTGTTATGGTTTCTGTGGCGTAGTAGAAATGACGCTCGGTTTGGTAATGTTCCCTCGGCTTGCTTTAAAGTTATTTCAGACATCAATGGGTGGTTGGTTGCTCTGGGGGCTGCGCGTATGTTGAAAAGGTCTCAGTTGGAGGGGGATACGGATACCTACTTTGCACGGTATTTTCAGCTCAAACCACATAAATCTTTCTGTCCGCAAGCTATATCTTGGAGGAAGCCTCCTCGAGGGGCAGTCAAGCTGAACACCGACGCAAGTGTGTCAAATGGGTTGGCGAAAGGCGGAGGAGTGGTACGGGATTTTGAAGGGAAGATGCTTGGTGCTTTTTATAAGGAGTTTGGGGAATGTGAGGTGGTACATGCGGAAGGGTTAGCGTTGTTAACTGGTCTACAGTGGTGTGTTGGGACAGGGTTGTCAGATATTTTAGTAGAAGTAGATTCTCTAGTGTTGGCCCGGCTGGTTACTAGTCAATCGATTGGTAAGTGGCCGTTGTGTAGCATTTTAAGCCAGATTCGGTTGTTGTTAGGTAAGGTGCAGGGGACCATTACGCATATCTATCGTGAGGCGAATGCTGTGGCAGACAGCCTAGCGGCTTTATCTTTGGAGAGTCCATTTGTTACTTTCCAATCTCATCATCTGCTTCCAAGTAGGGCTCGGTCGTTGATTAACTTGGATGCAATGGGCTATCCATATATTCGAAACGTTAGTTGTTAGGTATTTTCTTATTTTTCTGGCATGTATTGAAGGGAGGGTTTGCTTCCTTCGTCGTATGATTTTGTTGCTGTTGAATAAAATTTGGGGGGTTCTCCCCTTTTATTAAAAAAAAAAAAAAAAAAACATAGACAAATACTAAAAAATAAAACAAAATTGCTAATTTTTGTATGATTGATGATCTTTTTTGTTGTTTGTTTTTTCAGTGGATTAATTAACAAAAAACAAAAAATGAGAATGAGATAAATTAAACAAAGAAATAATAGTAAAATAAATAAATGAACAAACAAAAATCAGCTATAATGAACAAAAAGAAAGGCTAAAATTTTGGTGTCTACAACTTCCAAGCACTCATTTGAGCCAAATCATTGCATGGCAAACACACAAGAAAACAGTACAGGAAATAGTTCGAAAATAATTTTGACAACAATTTTGGAATCATTTACCAACCACAGCTCATGATCCTCATCCATCATAGATAGTTTCCTAGCTCTAGTCCAATTCCCTCGATCACAAATATCATATCAAGCAAAGGAAATCTAAAATCATCAAGTTCCTCTCACCTATTTACATTTCCTATTACACCTGAAGCTACACCTCTCGGATTGAAAAAAATCTTATGGCGTTTTGAATCTGAGACATAGGCCTACACTACTAGGTTCCTTCTCTCAGCCCTTCTCTCAGCCCTAGGTTCTCGATTTGGTTGGTCACAGATTTCCAATGACCCTTCCTTAATCCCGAGGTCGTCTAAATCTACACAGATGCCGAAATATCATTTTCTTAGCTTTCCTTTCCATTATATCTATACATATATATCTCAGAGGATAGGGTTCAGTTAGGCACATAAACACAGGTAATCAATCAAGAATCCCAAAGATATTTATCTGGTATAGCACAAAATAATTACATATGTAGTTTAAAGTAGTCCATAGGAAAATCAAGTAGACACATAACAATGTGCACATTCATAGGAGAAACAAAATAGGTTTTCAAAGCTAACACGTTAAACATCCACAGTAACTCTTACAGTCCAAATCTAACCACTATCTATCAAAACCCTAGTTCAACTTTTATTGGGCAAATCCGAGATAGCATCCCTCATTCCAATCTCCTCAATCGGGTCAATGTCAAGTCCAATACAAGAATCCCCCGTGCTCTAACCTTTGTCATCATAACTTATCTCAAAATCACGTATGATTTCTAGTTACCTCATCATACACAAGACTATACCACTTCCGAATTCACAAGTATTCCCTTAGGAATAGTATTTGGTACTCGAGTACAAGAATCCCAAACTAAGAGAATTTACGACTCAGGCCGTACGCTCCCAAGTGCAAATCAACAAGGTTTAAGATTCCTACCTGACGTACACATCTATCTTCCTCAAGTTGCATGATAAAGATTTTTACACTTATAACATGCCCGGTTCATAACTTATGCTCAAAGAGCACTTAACCCTTTTAGACACCTTCACCAAAAGCAGGACCATAACACCACTTGGCCCCAAGCTCACTCCGCGCAGAGACCACGCGAAGCGGCTCTGATACCACCTGTGACAGCCCCACCTTCCCCTAAGGCGAACCAAAGGGGTTAGCGGACTGCCTGTCCAGCTCTCGCCAGGACTAACGGTTCAGTTTAGAGCGATCTAATACGTTCCGGATCTTACAAACGCGTGTAAACAGGTCAAAATGTCAAAATAAAAAAAAACGAAACCGGAGTCGGCTATGAATAGTAACCGACCCGTCAGAACCCAACCAAATATCAAGCAAACATTCACATCTTGAAATTTAGCATTTACAAGCCAAAGTGGCATACAAAAGTATTCAAAAGTGGATACATGTCTGGTTTACCAAATCAAAAGAGAAACGGTCCCAAAAGTACATTTAGGGTTTCAATAAATGAGCTATACAAAAAATATGTCCAACTAGCTCAATTCGGCAACCAATTATCAATTGCAGTCCAAAAGTATTTATTTTCCTGTAAGGAAAACAAAAGGAATAGGGTGAGCTTACGCCCAGTGAGATAATACCACTCAAGCAGCAAAGTTCACATAAGCATAAAGCTTTCATTCCAATTCATCAAAAGTAAACAAAGGCACACATTAATGGTGGTGATAAAAGGATACGGGCGGCTCTCAAGAGCCCTTTTCCTCGATTGCATTCTTGATCGAAGCTCATTGAC